CTTGGATAGGTATGGACTCTTCGGAAGGCTTACTTACCGGACTAACTTCTTAATAATACGAATTCGTATAGTTTAAAATGGTAAATACACTCAGTGTAATGTTTTAAAATGAGAAATTAATTATTTTGCCCTTAATTATGCTATAGTTAGGTACGTACATACAACAGGTGCAGGAGTAACAATAGGCAAGTAAAATAAAGCTTATGATATCGTAGTAAGGTATAGGTTATTAATTATCTACCTACTATGTTAAATACGTATAAAATATATTTATTTTAAAATAATACAGAAATGAAATGAGTATTTTATAACGACCACGTCGTTGTGTTTCAATAAAATACATAAATTAATAAACAGTTAATTGGAAGCTTCAGCAATACTAAATATTGAGCTGGTACTAAATGTTTGCGATAACTTAATGAGATGAAAATGATCAGTGACCTAACACACATTATCGATTTTAATCATTTATTGAACATGGCAGCTTAATTTTGTGATTATTCTCGTGATGCATAATTTTTGCAGCTTTATTATTTCCCAGGACGAGTACGTCCGTATTCAAACATTACTATGAGGTCTCACAGTGCGCGTGGACGTACAGGGTGACACACGAACTAATCACAGAGCTCTATTCAACGCTGAGCGTCCCATTTTCTGCTTCACTTAAGCAAGCATCATTTGTGAATACGGACGATAGAGTCGTACAGTGTTGTTTGTTACGAATAAACAAATATAGAGCTCCATAAGCCCAGATTTCAAAAGTAATTTAAGGTATGTCCCCAGTATATTCCAAAGGCGCCGGTGTTTATCTAATGTATGTGTATTATCAAGGGGTAGATGATCACTATCATGTCAATCTCTTATACATATAACGCAATATTTGTAAAAGGATTCACTGCCATTTCAAACCGACGTGACTATGAGTTGCCCTTCTTTTTTGTTTTGTCGGAGCCTACCTGATACTTGAGGTTTCTTTACACCGCAATTTACGCCGGTGCATAAATATCAATTTCTCTGTTACACGCAATAAATTCATATTTTGATATCGCGGCTCCGAGTATGCGTACCAACTCGACACAATATTCTCTTTACCCCCGGTATTAAAGGAGAAGTGGTGCTCGAAACGTAATTTTGCCTTAAAAATAAATTCCTCGTTTGGTTTGTGTCAAATGAAATTTCATCTTCAGAGTGAAATTGTTCTTTCAATATTTCGTCGAATAAACAGAAGCAGAGATACCTACCTACTTAGGTTTTAACTTTTACCGTGCTTTTACGCAGCAGGGTAGGTTTATTTTTTTCTTTGAAACAACGATGTCCAAACCAATGAGGTTATAACTCTGAGTCTGACTAACTCTAACATTTCAAAGGAGGCCGTGGTTTTAAATTTAAAAACAAAGCACCGTCAATGTCAAATATAATTTTGACAGTTAATTTCAGTCAACTTATTTTTCAATTAATTTTAATAAAGTTATATTATTTGGTTGAAGAGTGATCCTAGGTTGTAAATATTAAAAATGGTAGGTAGCTCTGATAAAGCCCTTTGTACGGTCCTCCACAATAAAGTATCAGATTAGGGTAAGATTGTGCGCATCGGCTACGATAACGATCAACTCGGCGGAGTCCTAACTGGATGTTATCGCACGTTGGAAGTTCCCAGACGATATTCTAAAATGCTCACAAGATGAAGTTACATATACTTGGAATCAAATACTTTGATCTTGAATGGAAAATAAATGTAAACTAATCTCCCTTGAGATTAGTCTGTAAGTTTTGATCGTAGCTGTCGTTTAGCTCAATACAAATGTCTTTATCCAGTTCGTAAAATTGCTAAGGCAGTTTACAATGTTCCAAAAAACAGCTTTAAACTAGTGTTTAAGAAATGGGTGTTGTTTATCAAACAGTGTTTGTATGTCATGTTTCGCCGCCACAAATTATGCAATAGGTATGCTTCAAGACTTTGCGGAATGATAGTTGTGCATGCATGCGGCCGCGTGGCTTGCCCCTGGCATGTGCCTAGCCGCCTGCGGTACGCCGCGGCTCGCCTTGAATAAATTGAATAATGATATTATCGCAGTCGTATGTAGATTTCTATTACACGTGTCTGAATTTATCAGCGAAATACCCATCGGCAAATTTCGTTTGTCGCTCCCGACATTCGCTCTTTAACTCGATGTTATTGGATTGTTGTTATTTCCTCGAGATTCAAAACAAATATCATGGCTGGATTGTTTGTTCATAATTATTGATGAAATTGTAATAGATGTTGATTCTTTACTAAAACGTCTTACTCTATTGGTTGAGTTTAACAAAATGCTCCGTTAGAAGTTGCTCTAACCTTTGAACCTCTGGGGAATACATGAGGCCCCATTCAGGAGCTTTCGTGAGATGTAATCGCGTACGCGAGTTAAGGAAGGACGCGTATATCTAAGCGAAGAAGATTTTTCAGGGCTAATCTTAAGGTCACTACTACTAGGTATTTTATGATTTTGCTTAGTGGTTAAATACACAAAAGTTCTGGAATATTGTTTCTATTAAACTATTCAATTTGTGGTTAGTTTGGTTCTCGTTTTATGAAGATGAATTACAAAAAAAAAATCAATTGGTCTTTTTTGTAATGGTGAATGGTGGTGAAAAAAAATGAAATTGTAACTTGTAGCTAGGCTCAAAATGAAAACTTCACAAGGGGCAATTTTAGATTCTATTTTCTAATTTCGATTAGCGAGGAACGAGCAGGGCAGATTGGTGCAATAGGAAAGAAAGACCAGTAATGTCATTAAAATAAGTGCAGAGGTGGTCTCACAATCCAGGCTGCGCGTAAAACTTTACGGCTCCGCCAGTGAGCGCGCCGTGATAATCGAATGAAATAAGTGCAAGGGTCGACCCAACTGTTGTCATCGTAAAGTCTGTATTGGGTGCAAAAATAAGAGTCGATAATGTTTAAATTACTTTTTGAATGTGTTGTGAACCACATCCAAGACCTTCCAAGGGACCTTGAACGTAGTATTCAAGCATAAAGGGTTGTTTAATATTCATGTCCATAATCTCGTTAAACATGCGTTTTTGTGGTGTCAATATTGGTCAATATGTTCTAAAATAATAGATAGGGTAAAACCCGAACATTGCAATTAGTTTTCGTTTCGTTTCATTAAACAGAATTTTAGAATTTCAACTATCAGTACTAATTAAATCTAGCCAGTTTCTATTCAAACTCGTCGCATTGTTAACTACCTCCCAACAATCGAAAACAATAACATTGTAAGAATTAAAAAACAAAAAAACTGTGTACATTAGATTTGAATACCCACGGTTAACTTGTTGTGTCAATATCAAAGGGCACCGTGAAAAAACCGCCAGTAAACTCTGTTCCATCAGTGTGCGCAAAATGAAAATTCTTCAAGAGGAAACTTTTGTGTGTATCAAGCAAAGTTGATCAATTTTTGGTACAAGGTGCGTACAAACAACGGCACGTCAAGTTGTACACTGTGGGATCCCAAGTGCTTGTAATAAAGGCGGTTTTGCAACAGAAATGTATATAGTCTGATGTGCTGTCGCCTGTACGTACATAGGTATCGTGCTATGTTGCTTTTCGTTTATAAATCGTACGAGTTTCATAACTTGTAGCCGTAGCTGTACGCTCTCGAATGAGGTGTTCAGCCCCTGTACTATAAATATTATTTATTGCCTCTCGCAAAAGCCTGGGGAATTTGAAATAAAGATGAAATATCCGAGTGGCAGGCTTAGCGATTTTAAAAATACTGTTATGAGCCACGAAAAAATGAATTTTGACAAATAACACAACATGTTTACAACAAAGATTAGAAAGTAGGTATTGTTTCTGATAGTTTATACACAGTATCGACGATGATTTGAATGCATTACACATTAAAACTGAAAGAAATTTCTACTGTACTACCATATTTATGGAACGTGAACATAAAAGTTTAATATGAAGTGGGTACTGTAGATTTTATTAGGGTGAAAATCCTGTAAATTAAGTAAAGAATTTGGCCGTTGTTCCATTGGTGATAGGCACCCCATTAAACCGCTGCAGCGACTATTAGCCCCAGTTCCAGCCGCAATCTCTTTCGTGTCGACATTTTATTATCGGTAGAGTCAGCTCCTAGTAATCCCTAGCCAGCGGTACAATTTACGATTTATAAAACCGCCATTTCTGTTGTAAAGCAAAACGATAAAGAGAATAGTAAGCCCCGACCTCCTCGCTCGGCTCACTCCGTTCCGTTATCTTAATATTCACTGATATTAAAAAGTTAATCCGAAAAAACAACAGTCTCCACCTCGGTTACTGTTTGTTATCTTAGAAGAAAAAGTACCGTAACTGCCGTGTTTCGAAGAAAGCTTGCTGTTGAAGTAATCTATGAAAATTAAGTGAGAAGATTATGCGAATGGTTCTCGTCAGAATTTAAGGTGTATTTATACGAAATTTAATGTAAAAACTCGTCTAAGTTTGGGTGATTAAAAATATAATGAGACAGCACAATTAACGCTCTGCTTAGTCACTAATTAGGTTATTCAGGCATTGTATTAAAAATAATCGTGGTTTCTTCATCACATTCTAACCTAGGAAAATGGAGATCAAACTGAAACAATCACGTAAGAGATCTTAACAAATGTCTTTATGCCGAAATCGAATGTACGAATTCCGGTTAGTTTTTCTCGTGTTATAAATCAGTTGGATTTGATGCGTCGCGTTTTATTATTTTGGATTATCTCGATATATGTTAGATGTTCTTGGCCATCCATCTGTGGTTCCGCTTTAGCTAGCGTCGTTTATCCCATAAAGTGATGGATCCGTCTGGACAAACAAACCCTGACGATATTTCCTATAATAAGTCTATGGGTTGCTATGAAAATAGCACACGACAAGAAAAAAATGGAAACACAATTTGCAATAGGTTTTTTAGTTTGTTGCCTTTTAAGGATTTTGTTTAGTCGCCATCCTTGTTTAATATTAAATAATATAATATTGCATAGACACTTACCGTCATGTGAGTCGTATACGTAAATGATTTCCTTCCATCCATAATGCACGATTGTATCCACGATTGCTTTGTGGTAGTCCGGCCTCATGCTCACAGCGTGGTCGATCAAGCCAGACGACGGAGGAATGACCTGAAAAATATTACGATTTACCCACTATGCTCACAACAAAGCCAAATTACAGGGCTTTGTGTACAGTTTGAGGTTCCGTATTACTTTCGAAATTGCTTATTGACAGATTTTTAACGGAAACAGTCCGAAGTCCGAGTCCAAGAATCCAAGAATAAAATTTAAGCAAATATGAAATGAATACTACTCCCGTTGGTGTAACTCAAAATTTTATACAAACGTAGCAAAATATGCCTTGGATTATCAATGGCCCTCTTGATTTTTTCTTGATCAGTTCAACGGGCAAATCATCATACTACATAGTATAAAACAAAATCGCTTCACTGCCTGTCTGTCCCTATGGTATGCTTAGATCTTTAAAATTATTCAACGGATTTTGATGCGGTTTTTTAATAGATGAGTAATTCAAGAGGTAGGTTTATATGTATACTTAGCACCCGTGCGAAGCCGGGGCGGGTCGCTAGTTGTTCATAAAATGCAGTTGACACGAAGTAGGCACTCTATCTTGTTACTATAGGTACCTACCTATACATCGCACGCGCTTACTGATACACAAGATGACGTATAAAAAGGGCAGTTGGGCACTACTAGTATACGAGGGACCCGCTTCATGGATATAAATGGTCTTCACAGCTTCACTGCCAAGAGATTGAGCTGCCACTCATGACTTTGATTAAATTTCTGTGGTCCTTTCAAAGCGATTTGTTAAGATTAGCCACGTATGTACTCTTTTCTCATTTGATAAATTGTTTACTCTGTTCAAGTGCTTGGAACTCTTAAGTTTTCAAGGGTTGCCCCGATATTTTTCGTGACAATTTTCTGTACGTTTGGCAAAAAGTGAAGAAATCAGTCATCAAAATTAGTTTACAAGGTGATCAAAAAACAATTATGTATTAGAAACAAGGTATCATGTCAATTTTAAAATGGGCTATTAATTAATAACATTATAATACTATGGGCCTCATAAGAAGGCTCAAGGTCACAGGGCGATGGAGCGTGCTATGCTCGGAGTTTCCCTGCGTGATCGAATCAGAAATGAGGAGATCCGCAGGAGAACCAAAGTAACCGACATAGCTCGCAGAATTGCTAAAATCAAGTGGCAGTGGGCGGGGCACATAGCTCGTAGAGACGATGGCCGTTGGGGCAGGAAAGTTCTCGAGTGGCGACCATGGGCTGGAAGACGTAGCGTGGGCAGGCCTCCTACTAGGTGGACCGACGATCTGGTGAAGGTCGCGGGAAGAGCCTGAATGCGGGCAGCGCAGGATCGTTCATTGTGGAAAACCTTGGGGGAGGCCTTTGTCCAGCAGTGGACGTCATTTGGCTGAAACGATGAATTAATAACATTTAAATTATAATAATTTTATTGGAACGAAGATTGTTTTAACCTAAAAAATAAAAAAAGCTGTACATTTTAACCCATTTTATGGGGTGAATAAAGAACTTACCTTTTCTGGAAACCACGGAGTGACGAAAGGCATTTGAAACGTGTTGGTGTATGAATGTAGCGTGTCAAAAGACTCGGGTGTGACGGCGCCCAGCATCGCAAACACTCCACGCGCAAATTGGTTGCATACTGTGGCAAGAGAAATAATAGTGATTGTACAACCAGCGTCAAATAGAAAGATCATCCGACCGGACTTCGCAATTGCCCAAGTGTTAAGAGCCATTTCACAAAAAAGTTCCGCGCGAATTTAGGTACAAACTGTCAACGCAACGTAAAAAGAGTAAAAAGAACGCCGAAATGGACAAAAAAATCTTGAGCCGTGACCGTATTAAAACTTGATATAAGTTATTAATATTAAGGTAGAATAAGGTATTAAAACTTGATAAATTAATTTAAAATTTTAATACAGTTTATGTAATCTTTCAAAAATTTTTATATTTCGATTAATAATAATGAAACACGAATAGGTAAAATATGTAAAATATATATTAAGTACAAAATAAAGATAGTCACATAGTGAAAAAAAAATGCTCTCTTACAGCTCTATCATCGGACCCTGGATATCATTTAGGGACGAAGGCGAATCACACAAGCCCAAACTCCGTTTGTTACGGAGTTGCAATGGAGGTGGCCATTGCAACTCCTCCAGATCCAATAACAGACAGAGCTAAGAAATAAATAATAATAATAATAATTAAACAAATAACTAAAATATTTCATCTAACTATCTTACTTCTTACTAGTCTTACTAATATTATAAATACGAAAGTTTGAATGGATGTCTGGATGTTTGTTACTCTTTCACGCAAAAACTACTGAACAGATTTTGATGAAACTTTACAGTACAGCACAGCAGTACTAGGCAGTCTGTGTTCAACTATCACTCGGGTCGGACGTTCCTATCGCAAAACCGTTGGTTCACTCAGTTCCGATACGACTCTAGTGCTGTGTGTAATTATTCTCGTGAATACACTGAGTTTATTAATTTCTACGAGTGGATTTCATTTTGCCTGACCTACCTACGCCATGAACCCTGAACAAGAAGACCCTGTCGCCAGCGACAGCGACACTTCCCATCCCTAGCGTTGACCAGAATTGTGCGCATACTCTGGAGCATGCTACATACAACTGGCCGTCGGAGAAGCATAGATTTCCCTTAAGTCTACTCCCGCTACCATATGGCACTCCGCTAAAACTCGTGAGGGCGCCAACACTTGCTTTTGTATCGAAAATTAGTATGAGCAGCGCACGTGGTTGCCCGTTGTAGGCTCTATGCAACCACGCTATTTTAAACCGTGGCCCCTAAGCATGAGATGGGAAACTGCACTCTCTTGAATTCTCTTTAATTTGATGGTATTAGGGGAATCCTAGGAACGAATACAGACTTTACAATGGAATCTCCTCATCAATATTGAGACATTGCGAGTTGCAATGTTACGTTTTCTTGCAATCTGACCTTGATTTTTCAAACACGTGTCAAAATAAAAAAATAATTTAAATCAAAAGCTCTAAGGAATATTTAATTGACATCAATTTCGAAGCAAGCACAGATCACAGAAACTAAAGGGAGATGTGACAAGAGCCGCCCCCTTGAGCCTTGAGCCGGTGTCGCAACAATATGCCCAAAAACAGAACATATTGCTTGTGAAAGCAATGATGACAGCAGCGACGTCATAATGTAAACAGTTTACATTGCTTGCATAGTACTAAAGATTATTCGAACGTTAAATACTAATACCAGAGTGGATAATGAGCACATATTTTGATTTCTTTGTGTGTGTGAATTTCTAATGCGACACTGAGTTTCGAACTCAGCGCATTACTTAGCATCTCTCTCTATGGAAGCAAGTTATCTCCAAAATAACATTCTACACCTTTTTAACCTAGTCAGGTAATAATTTTATTAAAATACGAAGCACTTCATCTACACTGGTCATCACAAAAATCGGCCCACCTACGTTTTACAGGAAAACTCGTTTCTACTGACACAATCATGGTTCCCCAACAATATTGGTGTTATTTGAAAGCCCAATAAATATCCTTAAAGAAAAACACATTTAATTTCCTAATAAACGATTAACATATACAATAAATGTGACTTGAAAAACTTGAAAAAAGACCTCACTTTGGGCTCACCTCTGGGATCAATTAGACCAATTTTTATGGTTATAAAACCAAATAATGATCTCACGTGTCCTTTTTAGCAGATGGATAGCGATTAATCCTAACTTAACAGTTTTATAGCCATAAAAGTTGGCTCAAGCGTAACTACCTATTTTTTGAAGAAGTGACTCTGGATTCTTCTACAGACACATTTTTGGGGTTAAATCATTTCCTTTAATGAAATGAAGTTTAGAACTAGGCTTTTAATAGTAATATAGTATAGTAATATTGGTGGGAAGTGGGGATGCATACGTTTGAAAGTGCTTGTCGCGGGTGGGTCGATTTTTATGATGACCAGTGTATTAATAGGATATAAAATATATTTTAGAAGTTAATAAATTAATTATGCATTAAATATAAATGTTACGGTAAATATGATAAATGTGAAAATTATGAATAATCGCCGGTTATTGTGAATAATTACCTCATGATTTGGTAAATGTGATTAATATGAGATCATTTATGTGTGTATAAATCTAAATAGGCATCCTTTCAGTTTCTGCTCGGCCGGGAATCGAACCCGGGACCTCTCGGCATATTAGTCCGTTTCGAACCACTACACCAAACGGCCGACTTGAAACAGGGACCTCTCGGCATAGTATCAAATGTATTTGGTCGCCGTATAAATCACCGTTTCACGACACGAACGCACGTAAACGTCATGGCGGGAAAAGTGACACAGGTCCTGCCTTGACGGGCGCTCGCGCCATACTAATCGATGTCGGCTTGCGTATTGTAATTTATACTGATATTCACATCAATATTTTGACAAAGTGGTTACTAATATTTAAACAATAACTGTAGAAATCTATTCTACAATGCATATTCTTTATTTTGGGATACTTTTATTGCAGTTATTGCTGTGTTTTTAAACCAAAAACCACGATCAAAATGTGACGTTAATCTTCAAATTTGCCAAATTATTTTTAAATTTTACTCAATAATGGTAGTGAAATTCAAGAATCCATTTCATTAATGGACAACAAGAATATATGTCCGATGATTACTATATATTTTTAAGCTTATTATATGAGCATAAATAATAGATACAGGACTTTGAAATTGAGTCTGCGGCAATTTTTCCGTAAAATGGTTGTGGGAGATGGGGCACTGAGAATTAAGCAAAAGAGTTTTAGTAAATCCGTTTCATTAATGGTCAACACTAAGGATTGACCTATCTTTCGCAGTTATTCAATAATATCTGGGTGTTGCTTAAGATAGTAATTCATGCTTCCAAAATCTTAGAAATTTGCACGAAAATGTAAAATGGCTCTTAATGATAAGTGTGTTTGTAATTACGAGGGCGAAGGACGCGCGTGTTTGATGACAACGGCTCTCGAAATAGATATTATGTATTTGTTCGTTACTTCAGCTTCAGGAAAATGGAAATGTGACACTCCTCAAGAGGTTTTGCTTGTTAATGTTAATTCAGTCTTTGTTTCTTCGAATACAGATTACAGTTTTCTTTCCCATTTCAGTTAATTGGTTGCTTGTAGAATTTCTATGTTCTTGGCAATTTTAAAATTTGCACGAAATTGAAAACCTTTTATTATTTATTATAGAATTGTTTGTTTTCGTAGAAACATTTTATTGTTTTCATTTATAAATGTTAATTTAGCTTTTTCGAGCACCTTTGATAAAATAAAAATATTCGAACTTCCCTACGCTACGATCTACTAAAATTAATTGTTTCCCAAATAATATTTATTTTTTCATGGAAAATATACTCGTTTCCTATTACGACGTTATCCGTAAAGTAATAACCCTAGCCCTTGAGCCTGGTATTTATTGCTTTCCTGATCAATTTGTTTTGTTCTCACGGAATATTATACCAAGACGACATATCGTCGTAGCCGCGCTGGCGCTGCCACAACAACTTGTTACTGATGTCATGGAAAGGAAAAACAAGCCTTATTTTTTTTTTACAAATAATGCCCTATTTATGGCCTTAAAATCTTTGAAGGGCTTTTTTACATGTCTGCTAAAGTAAATATTTTTGTTTTTGAAGTAGATTGGCAAAACCTGTTTACCTGCGACTCGTGTTGAGTCACAGGCGCTGTCTGGGATGTAAGTTTAGGGTCCTTCTAGCCTTCTAGCTAGTTGATTTCGCTTCTCGCATGTTATAAGCATTTGATACGGTCAGGTCACGCCTGCTCGAGGAAAAAAATTATGACACGTGTAACGCCTTTGTGGCAACTGCTTAACCATATCCTTTAATACAGATGTAACTCTACAACTTCATTGAATGCTACAGATTTACCGCAAACCATCGTTGGTACACACACACACCTACATCCACATGAAATACGACAAAAAAGCTAGTTTTAAGTAACGAGGTTTTAACTCAATATTGTCGAAGAATACTCGATCCGGGAACTACTATTGGGAAATCATCTGTCTGTTCATAAATAACATAGGGGCTCTAATCTTTAAACCCTACAAGAAACTTGGACACAGAGACAAATAATAACGTCTCTGTGCAAACATCTTAAGGAATTTACAAGGGCTTTGATGTTTCTAATTTAAGAAATATGCAGTGTACCAGAAATCTAACAATGAGATTCATGGTATAGAAATGTTCAGAGCACTATTGTGTTAGAATTTTCATTGAGTATTGTCATTGGATTTTATTTAATGATTTAATACAGTCACCAATTATTTTACAATTTTATCAACATTGTAGAGCTTTGAATTTAAATTAACACATAATTATAACCCAACCCATAATTATTAATATCACGACCGTCGTCCCCCGGAAAAACTAATTCAAATTCTTTCCCCCTTACTAATAAAAAGTTACACAGTTGTTGAACACTGTTTTAAAATGACATTTCCATACTAAAAGTCACTTTAAAACGCTGTTCAACGAGCGTGTAAGTTTTATTAGTAAGGGGGTTTATCTGTAGGTATATTTTAATGTCACCGTTAACACATTTTGTTGGTCAGATCTCATTCTGAATGAGAAAAACATTTCTTCAGGTTTACTTTTTACGTTATTACCTACATTTGTCGTAAAGTGAAATTTAATATGACATCTCATTCTGTTGGATGGTCACATGAAAAAAGTATTCACATTTTTTCCAAGAGTAGCAAAACATAAAGCAAATAAACATGTTCTCGATGTTGATAAGTGAGTCATTTTCTCCATGCTGAAGGTCAGCATGGTAAACATGACGTTTTTTTGCGTGCACGTCTAAATTTAGGTCTGGTTTAAGTGCAAGTGCACTTTAGCTTGCTATACATAGTTCTATAGGTAGGTACACTACTTCCTTAGAAGATTGCACGCTGCATAAATTAGGTTGCCTGCAAAGGGGAGCTCCAATAATGGGGTCGTACAGGGCAATTAGACTTCCTATGAATAGAACATGGCATGTCCACCTAAGCAAAAGTCTTTTAACATGTACTCGTAGTTTTCATGTTTTTTAACAATCGACATAGTAAGATTAATGTGAGGTACTTATCGCATTGGACGAAATTGATTTTAAATTTTTCATTATGTGACACATTTCAGACACTGAAGCTGTAACTGATAGCGTAGTAAATACGTGTTGAATAGTCAAAACTAAGGGTGAATAAAGCGGATTTGATAAAAAAATAAAAGTAATATTGCTGCGTAGAAATTTACGTGGCCGAAAGGTAAGCCTGCAAACGCTTACATACAAAGCACAAAAGTACACGAAAATCCGGAAAAACGCGCCGTCCGTTGTTTAATAGCCGACACAGTGGAGCGTGAGTGCTCAATTCGCTTACCAAATAAAACAAAAGGCTTTTAGAGTAAACAAAAAAAAGACTCATAATAAAACCCGAAGACAGAGAC